GGGAAGTTGGGATATCCCCCCCTCCTTCTGAATTAAAAAAAAAAAAAAAAGACGACGAAGAAGAAAGCCTCTTTCATCCAGGAAAACTGTTTTTCTAAACTCCAGTGACCAGACAGGTTACAATGGGGTCTTTGTAAGTGAAACTTCAAACCTCGGCTGGGCTCACCAGCCCCCGCTGAGTGCGGAAGGGAGCAGACGCCAGAGCCTCGGAGAGGTTGCTGAAATTTTGATGAAAGCCAGGGCCGCCAGGTTCCAATCCCGGAGCCACTACCGGCACCGCTAGCCAGGCTCTGGGTTTAGGGCAGCCACAGAGGGCTGCCTGGGCATTTTTCTAAATTAATCCAGGGAGTGTCAGTGAAAGGGTGAGAGAAAGAATACCTGTTGTGAGCCTTGCCCAAGCTGGGGCCAGTAGGATCCACCCGCCCTCCCCTGCCCTCCCCTGCCCGCCTCTGACGGCAGCCGGGAGTGGACTATTAGGAACAGAAACAGTGCTGTTGCTGCTCTCTGAGGGGATGAAATGCCAGCGCCAGCTGTGAGGTTACCTCACCTTCACAGGGCTCTGGGAGGAGGCCAACAGCTCCAGGCCGAGTCAGGCGCGGCACAAGGCCAAGGTCAAAGCTGCAGCGTGGGCGCGCACTCTCTGTCACTGTCACCGGCTCTCTTCACGCACACACACATACATGCACACACACATTGGAAAATGCATAATGTGGCAACTCGAAGTCTAACTTGAGGGATGCATCACCATTCTGAAAGAATAGATGCAGTTCTTCCTTCCCCTCCCCCTTTTTTTCTTTTGAGAAATTTTTGCTAGGGCATGTGTGTTCACTGGTGAGACAGAAAGTGAGAAATCACATGCACACATACATACATGCACACACACAATCTCGCATTACACTTCGGCCCAGCAGGCGCCCAAGCACTGCAGCCTACTCACGTCGGCGCCCGGCGTGCCAGGCTTGCCCGGGGCTCCTGGTTTCCCCCGTTCTCCAGCAGGACCCTGAGGAGGCAGAGGGAGGCAAGGGCAGAAACAGTTGCAACGTTAGACCCTTCGGACACAAGTGTCTGCAAAATACGTCCCCAGTTAGTGGTGCACGATCGCGCCATCAACTTACCGGGGGGCCGGGGGGACCTTTTGGACCTCGGTCACCCTGGAAGGATCAGAGAAAAGGGGAGAGCAGTGGGTGAGGAGGAGAAGCTGGGGACCCCGCTGAAGCCATCCCACGGGTGCTCACTACATGGATCAGGCACGGACACCCGTAAGGGCCGAAAGGTAGACATTACCAACCAACGGAGACAAGGACACGTCAACCTCGCCCCTCCGAAAGTCCCCATGCTCCTAAACGCCCAACTCTCAGCCGCGTCCAACCTAGCTTCACCATGTGCGGTGAGGGGAGGGGCGCCGGGCCTTTGTACAAACCCTGGAGCCTTGGAGGAAGCACGAAAGGGCAGGGCTGGGGACAGCGGAGGGCTGCGGAGGGAAACTTACATCTATGCCATCGATGCCGGGAACTCCAGGGGGGCCCGGAGGCCCGGGAGGACCCTGCTCGCCAGGCGGACCTCTCTGGCAAAAACAGCACACACGGGTTAGTGAAACGCACAGACACCGGCGACAGCTGAGCTCGCGGTCCTGAGACCACCTCCGCCGCTCAGCCCTCGCTCTAGGGCCTGGTTTTGCAGGCCTGTCTCAAGCTTCCAAGTGAGCAAAGGTTTTCAACCGGCCACATTCTTACTGAGTTAAACGGGTTAGAGCAAATCGATGCCCAGGTAGGCGGAGGGTTCACAGGACCTCACCCCTACACAAGACATGAAACGGAGGGAGATAGTGAAGAAGGAGGCTCTAAACCCCTTTCTTTTCCCCCAGAGGAATTTTAACATGAAAATGGGGGCCATTCGATATCTCCTTAGTCAGTAATTGCAGGTCAGTGTTTTGGGCAGATGAAACAGCCAAGAATGGAGACCCTCCACACCGGGGAAGGGAGCAGACGCCAGAGCCTCGGAGAGGTTGCTGAAATTTTGATGAAAGCCAGGGCCGCCAGGTTCCAATCCCGGAGCCACTACCGGCACCGCTAGCCAGGCTCTGGGTTTAGGGCAGCCACCGCGGGTTGCGGAGCAGGAGAGGGAGAGCCTGAGTTCTCCACCAAGGCCTGCTCTGGACTGTGCCCAAGTTTGGGGCAGAGAGGTGAGAAGGTACACAGGATAAAAATTAAACCGTGCTCTTGAGTCACCTGTTGCCTTCAGTGCCTGAGCATGCACTGGCAGGGCCCAGGTGGGGGGAGGGGGAGGCGCTCTTTCTCAGATCGAGAAGTCGGTGGTCTAAGACACGGACTCCCCTGGTAGCGCTGCAGGCGCTCGAGGCGGTAAGGGAGCCATCGCGCCTTCCGCACAGCGCCCCCGACGGCTGAGCGCCCGCTTTCCTGTTGGGTGCTAGAGAAATGCTAAGATTTCTCCCTCCCAACTTACCTCCTCAGCGGTCTGGCTGGGCTGGAGAAGAAAAGATGCGGAGAAAATGAGAAGGCGTCCCCCCCAAACTCACCCACAACTTACTTGCGCTGCGCACAAGCAGAGCCCTGACAACAGCACCAGCAGCCCCAAGGCCCCGCGGTCCCGCGCTGTCCAGGCCATGCCCGCTGTCCTCTGCTGACCCGTGGCCCGGCTCTGCAGCCCGCCGCACTGCTAGATCGCTAGACTTGCCACTCGCGTGAAGTGACACTTCGCCCCAGAGAAAAGCGCCCTCGGGAGTAGTGGTTGTAAAGGTGCCTAGCGGTGGCGGCGGGGAGAGGCTTACATCCCTCCAGTTTATGAATGGCCCTGGAGAGGGTCCTGGGGATTGGAGGAGAGCAGGAGGCCAGGGAAGACGGATAGAATGACAACAGTCCCCCTTAACCCTTTCCCTGCAGACGCAAAGGCTGGAACTGAGCAAGCAGCTCTGTCTCACTCAGCCCACTGGCTGGCCAGAGTGCAGCCTCTGGCTGCCCTTGGAGCCTCCCCGGTGGCTTGTGCCACTGCTGGCAAGTAGACCTCCAATGTTTTGGAAGAGATGCTTGGGAGTGGGAAGGGGAGTCATAAGCTACCAAAGGGAGAGCCAGCGGCCAGCAGGTGGTTTTACCCACCATGCTTTGAGTAGGACCTGTGCTTTCTTACAACACAACAAAGCGTAGATTCTTCAGAGAATGCAAGGAGGGCCATGGGGAGGTTGATGAGGGGGAAAGGGAGTTTTGCAGGTGGCCAAGGAACTCACCGTTATTCTGACTGGTAGCTCGTGGCATGTTTCTCTCCTGGGTCTCAGGGGGTCACAATGAATCAACATCCACTGAAGTTCAAACTGGAAGAAAGCAGCATACCACCCTTAAGTTCTTTTAGAGAAAAGAGCAGGTCACTTCAGAGACATGAGTTTGTAAGTGTGGTCAAGTCCCCTATGACTGGAGACCAACTTGAACATGCTGAGCTCAGCGGACCAGGACTCTTGCTTTAACTCAAATGCAAATTTTCTAATAGACATGGCTGGAAGCCCTTCTCAAATCATTGACTATCAATGTCTTTTATACTGACTTATTCCAGCACAAGCCTAGCCAGAAAACAGAACACTAACCCTTACTCTACTTTTTTTTTTTCCCCCAGGACTTCAGGAGGTAGATTCTATTCGAATGCAGTTCAGAGAAACAGAAAACTGTCCAAGTCACAAACCAACAAGTGCCATAGTCTGGACTGGAACCCAGGCTCCTAGAACTCCACAGGAAATACACACTCCATGCTTCCAGATGGGAAATTAGAGATAGCCAAAGAGATGGCCATCAGGAGGACAAGTAGAAAGAAAATTCTGGGGTGGGGAATTGGTTGCTGGAGAAATTCTCCATGGTGTGGTCACACCTCAACTTGGAAAGAGAATGGACTCAAAACTGAAGGGAATGAGAGGGAAGTCTAGGACTGGGGAAAGGGATTATTTGTCATTTTATTTTTTGTATAATCTTAAGCATTGGTCGAAGAGATTAAAATTTCAAGATTTTTGAAATATAAATGTGTCTTGACTTCTTGTATTTCTAATATAAATTAAGGTAAAAAGAGGAAGGGAGCCAAAAAAAATTAAAATAAAGAAAGAAAGGAAAAAAAGAAAGGAAGGAAGGAAGGAAGGCAGAAACAGAACAAAAGAAGAATTGCCAAGTTTGAATCTGAAAAGAGCCTGGGGCAATAGGGGGGGGAAAATGTCATATCCCGGGGGCCAGCAGTTGGCTGGCGTAATGGCTATGTCGCTGGACTCCCATGTAGTTGAATGCGGTTTGAGTCCCAGACTCGGTGGCTTAAACTCATGCCCGGCACATGTGCGTGTGTGCCCAAGATCCTGAGAGGAGAATGGAGGAGAAGGGATTGGGGGGTGTTTTCTCGCCTTCTATCTCTCTCTCTGTCTTTCTGGCAAGCGCATGTGTCCTATAGCAAAAACCTCTTTAAAAACAAAAAGTCTTATCCCACAGGAAGCCTGCAGTCAGACACTGTTAGCTATTTCTTTCTCTCTTTTTTATTTGCTATAGTGCACATGCACTTGCCAGAGAGAGAGAAAGTGAGAAAGTCCCTCCCAGGAAAGATGGCCACACCAAAATCCCTTTTCTTCTATTTTCCTTTAGGGATTCTGGACATGCACACACATGTATACTGCGTGTTTTTCAAGCTCGTGGATCAGGACTCCAACTGCACAGTAGGCCATGTGGGGTCCAGTTGCCTTAACCCCCAGCCACTGACTGGCCCTGTATTTGCCCCTCTTAATTGAAGAGATCCGTAGCTGTAGCTAAGCATTTACATTAGATCCATACATTAACAGATTCTATTAGCATTATGTAAATGCCTGGTTAAGTATTCAGGTCCCAGATTTAAACACTACCTCTTCTTTTTTCTGATAGTGATTTCTTTGCCATTTGGATTCTAGATGGCATATGGATTCTGCTAAATGGATTCTAGATCTGCTGGATCTAGAATGAAGTTAGGTACATTTTCCCTACCATTGCAGAAATATCCAGAGTTGAGATTTTGGGATGAAGCTAGAAATTGGAGACTATGAAGGATAAAGTACTTCTCTTCTACCCATAGTGTAAGGGAAAGCTAGGCAAAAGGAAATTTTCCTTTTTATAAACAGGTAAAAATAAGGCACTGAGCTTTCACATTCCTGCATTGGTGCCCCTTTCCACATAATTCTTACTATCCTGGGGTTTTCTCCCTTGCTCCATTTTTCTCCTTTCTCTCAATCCTGCCATGTTTTTTTCTCCAGAAAATGTGAACATCTGGGAAAGTGAGTTAAATAGAAGAAAAGGAAAATGAACAGCTAAAACAATACATATTTTAAGATGGAAAACGATCTATGAACTGTGTGAGAATTATGCTGATCTGTGTCTATGGTGTGAATTATTTAAAGTGGTATACTGTCATTCTGCAAAAGAACTGCTTTCCAAACTACACAGTATCCTGCAGCTATGGAAATCATTTTGATCAGACACTTTATTTTTAAGAGAGTTGTCTTTTACCTTCTTGGGAGGGATTTGAGTTTTGTTCTAAACTGTAGTGGAGATTTTAAAAGGAAGATAAAAGCTAGAACAAACTTTTTCTTTATGAGCACTAAACACCTGGCCTTGAGGCAGTTCACAGACAGGTAAAGTGGGACAGAAAGGGTAACTCTTTTGTCACAAGTCCCACGGGTAGTACCTGGCAGAACTGACGTTCTACACATGTCTGACTCTGAAGTAAGGGTTTTCTCTGCCACCCTCAGCTTTCCTGAAGCATAATGCTGTCCCCACAATAAATCATATTCTCTGAGCCATAAGCAATGCATTTGGTGACTGAACATCTGTATTAAAGAATAGAAAAAAAGAAAGGTCTAGAAATTAAAACCGTGTAAGCTTATTCCAACATCTGCTAGAAAACTTTAGAACCAGACTAAGAAACTTTCATAAGAATTCAAACCTTTCCTCATTTTGCATACTCGTTATAGAAATATCCAGAAGCAAAATTACTAGTGTTCATCTAGAAATCAACAGCTGTGTCTATATGTAGTTACACATTTATGTGTATTGTGTAACAAAATCTCACAGAGAAAAGAGAATTACAGCTCTTTTTCCTTAATGACCAGAAAAGAATTTTTTTTAAATAAGAAAAGATGTAACCCCCGCTCTTACCACCCCCTGAAAATAAAAGAGCACTCACAGGATTTTATTCACCAAGTCCTATGGGACTTGGTAACTCAAACTAGGCTACACTATATGGGGTGATATTTTGATTCTGAAAATAATCTGTGCTTTAATCACCTTGAGAAATTTTAATTATATGGTTAACCAGAAATCTGTATCCTTTGTTTAGCTAGTTCATTAAAATTACTTATTGCAAATGTGAGGTAATTCATTAAGCTGTTTTCTCAAAAATGTAATTCTCTGTGGATAAATTGGTACACCTGTTTAAATGTGCGAGGTGCAATGGATAATGGGGGAATGGGACGTGATTCATCTGTGAATACAGGCTGGGTTGCTCAGAGTGCCACATAGATCAAGGGTTTCTGAACACATCTGCAGATCCACATAAACACCACCTACACACTAATAATCCTCTATACAACCATCACTTTTTGGCATGCAATATGCATTCTAATTTGCATTCTAATTATTTTCAAGGAAGATTGGCAGAGTGCCTTGGTAAAAGTCACTTTTGTTATACATCTAAAATACTGATTTCCACACATTTCTCATTTCCATACCTCAAATCATTTTTCTCTTTGAACACTCCCTGACAAAATATATGTGAGGAATATTTTAATTGAATCCTTCAGTCCACATGTTTGAAGTCCCAGTATAAGCCCAGCACTAAGGAAGAAATCTGGTGAAACCACATATTTTCCTCCCCACAGTGAGTTTACAATTTGTAAGACCTGCAAAAAATACAGGTAAAAAAATAAAATTCTTTTCTTTTCTATTTTTTTAGTATTAAACAAAACGTAAAATGTCCTAGCAAAATCCATCCTTCTCATCATAAAATGTTTCTCCATAGTCTTGAGTAAAATAGAGTTATGGGAGTCAGCAGGTGGCATAGGGGTTACAATGCAGGACTTCCACTTGACCAACCAGGGTTCAAGTCTCAGACTCAGTGGCTTGAAACTCACACCAGGGGCATCTGCACACGTGCCCAAAATCTTGAAAGGAGAATGGAAGAGAAAGGATTGAAGCATGGCCACCCCCTCAAGGGATGATTTCTCACTCTGCCTCTCTGGTGAGCTCACATACCCTATAGTAAAAAAATAAACTTTTCTTTAAAAAAAAAAAAAAGTGCTATGAATTTACAGGCTTTGCTCAGATTTGACATTCCCAATCTTTTCTGTGGGATATGAAGATATTATCCCATCCCCCAGGCCAACTACTACATATAAGCAAGGGATTTTTGGCCCCAACTCTCTACTCTCTTCCTATGGTTATGATGTCTATTTATTTTGCTGGAATGTTGAGAAAGATTAAAAAGATACTTAAGTCCTTCATAGGAACTAAACAAATACTAACCAGAACTAAACTAAACTAACTAAAAGACAACTCTTTTCCTCCTGAGAAAATTATAATGGCAAACTATGAAACTTGGCTCAGTATTAATAAGAACAGCACAAAGTTTGATTTTTGCAAACTAAATCATGATTAAATTTTATAAGTATGAATGCCTGAAAACCAGCTCTTCACAGATAACTTTTATTTTTTTAACAGAGATTTTTCTATAGTGTGCATGCACTCCCCAGAGAGACAGAGAGACAGAAAGCTAGAAATCACCCTCCCCCACCCCCCACCCCGGGAGGATGGCCACATTACAATCCCTTCTCCATTCTCCTCTCAGGATTATGAGCATGCATTCACATGCACCCATCATGAGTTTTAAGCTGCAGGGTCTAGGACTAGCAAATCTTGGTCAACTATGTGAGAGTCCAGCAATGTAATCATTACACCATATGCTGGTCCTCATAGATAATTTTTTTTTTTAATTTTGGAGAGGTTTTTGCTATAGGGCATGTGCACTCGCCAGACAGAGAGAGACAGAGAGACAGAAAGCAAGAAATCAGCCCCCCCCCCGGGGGGGATGGCCATGCTGCAGTCCCTTCTCCTCCATTCTCTTCTCGGGATCTTGGACACACGCGCACATGCGCCCAGTGTGAGTTTTAAGCCACAAGGTCCGGGACTCGAACTGCGGTCAACTACATGGGAGTCCAGCGACACAGCCATTATGCTAACTGCTGGTCCTCTCAGATAATTTTTTTTAACAGGACAGATATTTCATTAAATTTTTGTCTACTGAGTGGCAACAAATATTTAAAGAAAC